TAAACCAGTGGTCAGCAAACTCATTAGTCAACAGAGCCAAATATCAACAGTACAACGATTGAAATTTCTTTTGAGAGCCAAATTTTTTAAACTAAAACTTCTTATAATGCCACCTCTACAAAATAGACTCGCCCAGGCCGTGGTATTTTGTGGAAGAGCCATGCTCAAGGGGCCAAAGAGCCGCATGTGGCTGGCGAGCCCCAGTTTGCCAACCACTAATTTAAACTATCTCTTGATTGCTTATAAGACCTAACACAACATGCTATGAATGTAAGTAGTCATATACTATGTTATACAGGGGATAAGAAAAATGTCTTGTGTTTAGTACAGATGCAACTATGGTCGGCCTAGCTAACCATCAGCAGCAAAGTAACTTAAAACAAGTTGGGAAATATTATGCAAAACCTGTGGATATACAGGCCAACTCTGCACCTACTTTATGCATTTATGCATTCCTTTGGCCTTACGAGCATTAGGTATTAAACATAAAGATGTTTGATAAGTGAGGTCATGACAGTAACTTCTTCCTCTGTGGGTTGGAATGCACGGAAGCAATTCACCACCACCACCCCTCCTCCCGTCCCCCCGTACCACTGGCCCTTCACCCCATTATGATGGGCAGGTTGCTGCTGAGCCAGTTACCTAACACTCTTGAGGACTCTAGCAGTCTTCAGCTGGGGCTTATGGACCTTCAAGGAATCTGTGAGCGAAGGTTAAGAGTAGCTTTGTTCTCTGCACTGAACTCTATCGCAGCAATACAGTTATTCACAAAGGAGAATACTGGCTTAAAACAATGGCTGGGGATTGACTGGAATTATAGGGTGGGGAGCCTCCCTAAGTCAACTAATGTGAGTGGCTGGCTGGGGAGGGGGTGGAAAAGGCTTTCAAATGTGAACAAAGTCAGAGCAAGATAAAAAGACAAAAACAGACCCAGAGAAAGAGAAGCAGCCATCAGACACTCAAACCTCAGAAGGAAGGTAAGGGAAGATGGGGGTAAAGGGTAGAGATCAAAGGGCTTGTGTGCATGCATATAAATCCTAACCAGTGGTCACTTTCCTCAGATGTCCATATCCATGGACACATAGACAATGGGGGATGAAGACAATTATGTGATACCATAATCAGAAATAAAAATAAATAAATAGAAATAATATATTAAAAAAAAAAAAGTCTGCTCACCTTAGCAGGGGTGGCTTTTATTATCACATTGAAAGAAAAAAAAAATGAGGCCTCCTTGCTGGATACTTACCAGGTGGTACATGCTAACTTATGCATCTTAACCAGCAGTAGGAGCTTATCATAAATTCCCAACGTACACTTTCCCCTGACCCGTTTGCCTGGCCTCCAAGTTTGGAGTGGAGCTGGCTGTTTGCCTTTTACTCAGAATTCAATGCAGAGGTCTTCAATTTCTGGGCGTGACTCACCTTGAGGCACATGGATTCACACCTGCTCATATCCAGGGGCCTGTTTGCACAGATTGTGTGTAATGTGAGTGGTGCCCCGGGCTGTGCAACTTGGTGATTTTTCTTTATTCTTCTTTCTCTTTTCCTTTTCTTCTCCAACAATAACAACTCCTCCTCCTCCTCCTCCTCCTTCTCCTCCTCCTTCTTCTTTTTAAATGTCTTTTTTCTTCTTTTGTTTTGGTCTCTTCACTGTTGACTATGTTTTGCAGGCATCAAATCCAACCCCCTTATACTTGTCATCACATCTGTGGCTGCCACTGCTGCTTCCAGCACCATCTCATCTGTTTTTACTTATCACCCCTAACTCCTGTCACTTTCCTCACACTTCTATCTTCTGTTAGGAGAGGATTGGACAGCCCCTAAAGGATGCATTGCCCCTGAGGTGTGAAAATGCTAATCTCCTAGCTTTGGGTGCATGCTTTCCACAAGGAGTCGTCCAGTTTTATTGGGGGGCTTCCACGCCACTGTCACAAAAATTGTATATGTGTTTGAGTGGAGTTAGAGGGGGAAGGGTTTTTTCTTCTCTCTGCTTTGTTTTGTGCTGGTTATGATGCTGCTCAGGTAAGTTTAGGTCAGGGGGTCTCAGCCTGGGTCATCCAGGCAGCTTCTAAAATTCCTAATGCCCAGGGGACCCTCCAGAATAATAAAAACATCTGAAATGGGACTGCTTCATTATTACTATTTTTAGATATGTTTTCATTGATATCAGAGAGGAAGGGAGAGGAAGAGAGAGAAAGAAACATTAATGAAAAGGGAGAATCACTGATCAGCTGCCTCCTACACACCCCCTTCTTGGGATTGAGCCTGAAGCCTGGGCATGTGCCCTGATTGAGAATCAAATAGTGTCCTCCTGGTTCATGGCTCGACACTCAACCACTGACTTACACCAGCCGGGCATTATTTTTTTTTTAATGTTCCCCAGGTGATGGATTCTAACATGCGCCCAAGTGGATAGCCACCAATCTAGGCTAACATCCTAATGTGATGGGAGGCTGAATTCCAAGTCAAGGGAAGCTTGATTTTATAGCTAAAAACAATAAGGCTTCCTCTCAAATAGATACTTATCTTACACAAACTCTATTAAAAAGAAATCAATACACCAAAACACGGCCTACTTTTTTCCCCCCTTTGCTTTGCCCATGCCTTGTGGGGAAACCTAAAGGGTTAAACTGATTGTTTCACAAATGGGCTCAAATCTAATGATTGCAGAATATATATATATATATATATATATATATATATATATATATATATATACACACACACACACACACACACACACTCATTGCTGCTTTCCTTCCAAATTTAACGCAGAGTTCTGAGAGCACTTCAGCCTATATTTTTAGCTAAGCATAGAGAATTTCAAAATAGTTTACCTAAAAATACACTTCCTGAAGTGAATTTGAAGCCTGGGAGGGATGAATGGGTTTATTTTTTCTTCTATATTTAATGTCACTACAAGAAAGCAAACCTTGAATTTATATACATCTATATTTTTAGAGACCCAGGAAACAGGTGCTATGTCCAAGGGCTGAGTGGCAAAGTGTCAGTGACAGAAATCTGGTTTCACGGACATGGACTGTGGGAGGGCGTGGAGACTGCTTCTCCGGGTTTAGGCAGGAGCATACTTAACAAGAGGAGGTGGTGAGGAGGCTTTTCCAGGCGTGACCCCTGGGAGAAGCACACCTCCCACCTTTTTAACCAGCAAGGAGTGGTTAGTGCCACAACTGGTCTAGATCAGCAGTCCCCAACCTTTCGGACCTCACTGACCACCAGTGGTCTGCGGACCACCAGTTGGTGACTTCTGGTCTAGGTACTTGATCTTCCTTAGTGTCTTGAAGTTCAGGTTGGTTGACCAAATGCCTTCTAGCCTTGTCTCACTCACTCTCCAAATGCATGCCTTTAACTACCTTCACTGCCAATAGAAATGGATTTCTTTGAGGAAAATTCTGGGGAAGTAGAGTGTTATACATTATTGCTTCTCAGCATGCAATATGTGGGTTGCAAAGGATAATCTGCGTTCAGTATGTAATTGGTGGATGTGAATGGATATTGCATTTATAATCACGCACCCCCTAATTTGGGGGGAAGAAGTTCTATATTCTTTCCCTCTCGGTATGAAGGACCAAATGCAAATTTCTGATATTCATTTCTTTATGTATTCATCTCTTCACTAATTATTTAATAAGTATTTTTAAATATCTTCTTCCATGTAACAGGCCCTCTTCTTGGCAGAGTATATAACCAGACAGATAAGTCTCACAGAGCTTGCCTTTTGGTAGCTAGATTATAAGCATGTAAGTGACCAAGTTGGATTGTGCAAGAGATAAAATGGAGTCTGTCCGAAACCAGTTTGGCTCAGTGGATAAAGCGTCGGTCTGCAGACTGAAAGGTCCTGGGTTCAATTCCGGTCAAGGGCATGCACATTGGTTGTGGGCACATTCCCAGTGGGGGATGTGCAGGAGGCGGCTGGTCAATGTTTCTCTCTCATAGACGTTTCTAGCTCTCTGTCCCTCTTCCTTCCTCTCTGTAGAAAAATCAATAAAATATATTACAAAAACAACAACAAAAAACGGAGTCTGGTCCTTGTTACTTGGGGGCTGCTTTAAATGAAGAGCTGTCATTTAACCAGAGACCAGAAAGGTGACTAGAAGCCAGACAAAGGGACTAATAAGGAAAGGCCCAAGGAAGGAAGGAACTTGTTTTCTTCCAGGAATAGCCCATGTGTCCTCAAAATTAATGGGTAAGGAGTAAGAGGATGGGTGAAGGAGGTGGTGGTGGTGAGGGCTGAAGCCAGTGAGGTAGCAGACCCTTCGGTGAACTCAGTTTTCACTGGCCTGCATGAATCCAGAGTCGTGGCAGTGTTTGGGATTGTTTCTAGGAGGCATTCTGTCCATGTTGGTTGAGGAACTGATTTTTCTCAAGGCAGAGCCAGGCCCTTGCAAGAAGTTCCCACAACTCTCTCGGGTCAGGAAAAAAATGGTCAAGTCCTGCCTCACCTACAATGTCTCCTGGGAGTAGCCAGCTCCCATTCGCACTTCATGGCTCTGCTTCCTCTGTGACCTCTCTGCCCATCTTGGTGTTGACTCTTGTCCGACTTCCACATCCTCTGTCTTTTTCTCTATTTTTGGGTTATCCTACCCTCATCTGTTTCCTTGACTGTCCACCCAGATAAACTATAATTTCCCTATGGCTACTTTTCATTGTGCTCCCAGCACCCAGAACAATGCAATAGGCCAATCTAATCTGTGTTTCTTGATGGGATGATAAGGTTTGTGGAGAAAGAGTGACTTATGAAGTCATGGACAAAAGCAAGAAATAACTCAAAATTCTCCCCACTCCCACCCTGCAATGGCTTACATTAACAGATTGTAGAGGTGCAGGGAATGCTCATCTGGTGTGAAAGCATTATTTTGTCTTTCTTCGTATTTATTTTTCTGACATCAGGTTCATTGGAAATTGCATACCATCATCAGGAATTCATTGGTAGGAACTCATTAGATAATCATTCAGTGTCTCTTTCTTTTCCCCCCATAGTTAATAATGATGTGATGATCACCGAAAACAATGGTGCACTCAAGATTCCACAATTGTGTAAATTCTGTGATGTGAGATCTTCCACCTGTGACAACCAGAAATTATGCAGGAGCAATTGCAGTATCACATCCATCTGTGAGAAGCCCAACGAAGTCTGTGTAGCTGTCTGGTAAGGTTGCCTTGGAAAAAATCTTTCCCCCCTTTTACAGCAACGCATTTTCGTGGTTCATGGAATCACAGTGTCTTCACACCCTAAGAGTAGACACAACCTGTTTCCCTTTCTCTTAGACCAGTGGTTGGCAAACTTATCAGTCAGCAGAGCCAAATATCAACAGTACAACGATTGAAATTTCTTTTGAGAGCCAAATTTTTTAAACTTAAACTTCTTCTAATGCCACTTCTTCAAAACAGACTCGCCCAAGCCGTGGTGTCTTGTAGAATAGCAACATTCAAGGGGCCAAAGAGCCGCATGTGACTCGAGAACCACGGTTTGCCGACCATTGTCTTAGACCACCTCTCTTTTAATTGTTAAATGTGGTTTCCAGAGACATTCTGGACATTTTCAAATCTATCTATGTGTGTGACAGTATCAGATGACTTTTAATATTTGCAATAAATCTGGAGACCCTTCCTTCTATACAAGAGAAGAATATGACACTCTTCAACATTTAAGGACACCCCCCCACGCACCCTAGTGACACCAGGAGCTTTGTTCTCCTGAGGAAGCCTCAGTCTTGTTTTAAGGAAAAAGAGGAGATGAAAGGTTGGCTGTTGGAAGAGGGGAGCACTTGTCAAAAAGGGGAAGATATTCTGGAAGCATAAAACTACCCATTCCTTAGTCAGAAGCATTGGTCATGTCACTCACACTACCACTGGGCAATACACTACTTTTCTCTTGGATCAGAGCTTCATAGTTCCCTTAGGTCAGATTTCTTCCTCTCTCTCTCTCTCTCTTTCTCTCTCTCTCTCTCTCTCTCTCTCTCACATCCCTCAACCTTACCATGCACACACACACACACACACACACACACACACACACACATACACGCACGCACACACACACACACATACACATGCACTCATAAATTATCTGATTAATTTATAGTTATAGTTGGAAGTGTGAACAAGAGATAAGAGAGATCATCAAATAAGTCCCTATGATATACAAATGTTTACATTCATTAATGAAATACAACATATTCTCATGATTTGAATTTATTTGAATTCAGGTTTTTAAATAACCTATGTGTCTCCTGACCATTTGCAAATGAGAATGCAAACCCACATATCTCCCCCTCCCTTTTTGGGAATGAGTCTTTTGGACTTTCTCCAAACCACATATAGTTGGCCTTGATGATAGAGCGATCTAAAAACTTTGCAAATTTCTGTGCACAAGGGGGGATGAACTTGTTTCCTAAGAACTTAAAGGAATGTTAACAGCACAGACCTGCCAGTACAGTTTGCGATAGCTGCAAGCTTCATTCATGTCCAGTTCTGAGAAGTGCTTTTGAAAAAAAGGATTCTGACAAAGCCTGTGTGAAGAAGAAAAGGACCGGCATTGGAGGTTTAGAAAGGGTGCCATCTGAATAATGGCTGAAGCCATTAGACACGGTTCCAGGAAACAAAGGACGAGGATCCTCTTGAGAGATACTGAAGGACATGATATCTCTTGAGATAGCTCAAGAAGGAAGAATAGTGGACATTTTCTTTGTAATGCTGAAGGGCAGGAGGAGAGTCTATGAAGTTTACCAGGGATGCATGCTCAGTACATACTTAAACATTTTCACAATCATGATTTCCTAACAGCAGAGCAGACTTCCTCCTTTGGAAGGGTCAAAGTTCAGGAGGGGCTGGGTGTCTGGTAAGTCTAGTGCAGGAAAGACTGAGACACCCACCTGGTGACCCCAACGCTTCCTTCTTCACTGCACTTCTCCACTTACTGTCTGTAACTAAGTATCACTGTGGTGTGAGCTCACTTCTGCTAATGAATAAAAAAAAAATAGGCTTCTTAATTAGGATCTTTTTCCCTGACTCACAGTACAAGTCTGAATGATTGATTGTGAATCAAGCCACTAGAATAGAGGCTTTACTTTTCTCAGAAAATGGGAATGTGTTGGGGGAGAGGAAGCTTGCTGTCTCCACCATGAAGTCAGTACGGAACAGTGAGCCTAAGTTTTACCTGTCTTGGTAAAGACACGTGGGTGATGAGGAGAAAGGCACATGCAGTGGGTGCTGTGCTATACGCCCCTCATTCTCCTTAGCACTCACCCATCAGCTTCTGGAGCTTTGGTTGCTAAAGGCTCACCCTAGTCCCTCCTGGGGACTCCCTGGCACTGAGCAGAAATACTGCGTTGGAGTTGGCTTTTCCTCTCAAGTTTGGCCCCTCTTCCTGGACAGTCAGCATCCTAGAACTGACTGATGCAGGGATCCAATGCCTGGCCACTTGGCCTCAATGTGGGACAGCTCTGATGGGCCATCCCAGCATTACAGCTCCTGAGGGATCAGCTGTGTCCTTTATTTGCAACCTGCATTGTGGTTCAAATCCTTCCATGTGCAGGTCACTTACAGGTGCCTGTTCAAACACCTCCCGCACAGAAACATCATAGCCTCACTGTCTGTTTCCAGGGAGCCCAAACCAGGGAAGGTTTGGGTTCCCAGGGAAGGCTAGTTTTTTTTTATTATTTTAAAATATATATTTTATTGATTTTTACAGAGAGGAAAGGAGAGAGTTAGAAACATCGATGAGAGAGAAACATCAATCAAGTGCCTCTTGCACACCCCCTACTGGGGACATGCCCGCAACCAAGGTACATACATGCCTTTGACCAGAATCAAACCCGGGACCTTTCAGTCCACAGGCCTACGCTCTATCCACTGAGCCAAACCGGTTTCGGCAAAAGGGGGCTATTTTTGAAACAGTCACACATGGAAACTTAAAGCCTCTACCATGATATAGGGCATGCATTCCAAAGCCTGATCAGTTTGTGTTCTTTTCATTCATCCATTGAGTCATTCATTCACTTAATGTCAACTGTGCACCCATTTTATGTAAAACGTTCAAGTTCTTTCCAAGAACAGAAATATATTGGAACCAAAATTAATTTCATGACCATGTTCTGTTTTCCAGTGGCTATTGACAAACTCTTCTATTGCTCAGGGCAAATGTTGCTGGACAAAGCCATCTATTTTCCCCCCCTTCCTATGTTCATCTGCATCCCAAGATAGTTTGCCAAGTGAGCTCTGCCGTCAGAGAGAACAGTGTTACAGGACTGAGTGGAGACAGCAGCTGAGGACTTCACGCAGACTTAAGCACTGTATTGAGTTTCCTCTCTGTGATTTTAGTTCCCTAGGAGCTAGGAGATGGGAAGCAAGAGGCTCTGAAGGAGATGCCCAGTCATTGCCGAGGGGCTGTTCTCACAACTCCTTCCTCATCCCATTCCTTGAACTCTAGAAGCTTCACAACAAAGACACACCATGCTTTTCCCTGGGAGCACAGCGGACTCAGTGTGCCTTTCTATACATCTACATACACATGCACGCGTGCTTGCAACACTCACACACTCACAGACACAGCTTTGGGGGAATGGAGGTGATTAGTTTTAAGGCCACCATTTCTGCTAAGACTTCAGGGTGGGTAGATTTTCCAATGGACATATTTGTTGTGGGATTGTGCCAAGCCAAGTTTCATTGAGTTCCCTGCTACCACCCTGGAGGGAGGGTTCGGATTGTTGCCTCTAAAGGTGGGGACCTGGGTAGCAAGGCTTTGCCTCTATTGCTCCTGCTGGAGTGTTAGTTCGAGGACCACTAATGTATTTCACAAAGTGGCACGCCTGCTTCTGCTGGAGTCACCTCTGGATGTCACAACCATGACTCCATTCCAGCCTCACCCTCATCCCTACTCCCTTATCCCCTCCTTCACACACTGTTCTTTAGTGTCCTTGAATTAAGCCCTAAGCCAGCGGGGAATTAGTCAAGTTGCAGTTTCCCTATGGTTATGGGCCATAACCACTTCTTTTCAGGGGAAAACTGTCTTAACAGCTTCATGCTTCCAGCCTGCCTCCCATTTTCCTTTCTATGAGCATTGAGTTTTTTTGGGGTAAGGGGGTTGATTGGTGAGTGTGTGCTAGTGTGTGCTGGCGCATAGGCACTCATATGCATGCATTCAGAATCCTTCCCGGAAAAGATTACGCATGCAAACCTGACTGGACCTATCATGTCATTTAAGGCCTGATTTTCCCTCCAGATTTAGAGACTACTGTTTAAGACAACATCTATTTTGCATCTGAAAAGGGGAAGATGGGAGGAAGGTTATCAGACCAAAGCAGTTACCCAAGATGGCAGGGTTTTGAGGGGAGCAGGCAGCAGGCAATGCACTTCCAAGGATGCCAGAGGTTGATTTTTGACTTCTGCAGTTATAATAGGGGGTATTCATCATGTCATTATTAGATGCAATGTACACATAGAAGCAATTGAGCCCTTCATAGGACCCAAGCAAAATGTGAGAGAGTCGCTGAGCCCGTAGCTGAATTAGGCTCCCAATATGTGATGTAAAGGAATACAAAATGTAGACACAATTCTTTTATATTAGCGTGAACTATTTTACTAAACTGTAAGTGAAGGACATCTTACAGGTCTTTCCCATAGGTTTCAGTTCTTCCCTCTTCTGTTCCTTTCTGTAATTCAATTCTGGAAACTGCAGTTCTTTGTCTAGGAGGTATCTTCCGTTTTCTCAGCATAGCCCGCTGCTGACATGGAACATGCCTTCACTCATGGTGCCCAGCAAACATGGAAAGAGGAACCGAAACTACTTCCCCAGACATGCTCTTTGAGAAGAAGTTAGCTAGACAGCCCCTGGTTCTTCTGCCCAGTTACCTAGAGATGCCACCTGAGCCTGGCAGTACAGTCAGGGTAAAAAGTTTGAAATCACCCTGGGGACTCAGCAGTCTTCTGTTTCTTATGTCTTCCCCTTTAACGACTGAATTAAGACAGTGTGCAAACTCCTCTGACAGGATAGTCCCCGAGATAAACACTCATGTTTGTGATCATACGTGGGCTTGGAGAATAAACAAAGGAAAGGCTGAAAGGAGTAGAGTAATGTTTCCCAAACTTCTCTCATGGTGAGAATCACCTGGTGGAGTTGTTAAAATACAGATTCCTGAATCCCAACTAAGAAGTGCTAAACTAGAATTTTTGGGAACATCTAGGTAAAATTGTATACTTAACTAGTGCTCAAAGCATACAATTTTACCTAGATGTTCCCAAAAATTCTAGTTTAGCACTTCTTAGTTGGGATTCAGGAATCTGTATTTTAAATATATTTTATTGATTTTTTACAGAGAAGAAGAGAGAGGGATAGAAAGTTAGAAACATCGATGAGAGAGAGACATCGATCAGCTGCCTCCTGCACACCCCTCACTGGGGATGTGACCGCAACCAAGGTGCATGCCTCTGACCGAAATCGAACCCAGGACCCTTCAGTCTGCAGGCCAACTCTCTAGCCACTGAGCCAAACCGGCTTCAGCAGGAATCTGTATTTTAACAACTCCATCAGGTGATTCTTATCATGAGAGAAGTTTGGGAAACACTGGAGTAGAGAAAGCACAGGGGACTATAGGCAACCTGTTTATGATGCAAAACCAGAACCTGCTGCCCTTCTGAGAAACAGCTTGATGAAGGAAATGCATTCCAGATTGCCTTTCTGTCCAGAGACCCCATTCATCCATTCTCTCTTTCTCTACTCTCCATCCCCTCTCCACCTATGAACCTCGGCACTGAAGGAGGAAAAATGATGAGAACATAACACTAGAGACGGTCTGCCATGACCCTGAGCTCCTCTACCATGGATTTGTTCTTGAGGACGCCACTTCTCCCAAGTGTATCATGAAAGAGAAGAAAATGGATGGCGAGACTTTCTTCATGTGTTCCTGTAACACAGAAGAGTGCAATGACAACATCATCTTTTCAGAGGGTGAGTTTCCTTCCCTGGATGGCTTGGAGCCTGGCTGCCTCTGGGCTGATTTCTTGGGCCCCTGGTCTGCACTCTCACAGGACAGTTCCTCCTCCTCTGGCTGGTGCTGGAGAGTGAGTCTATGGTGGAAGGAGGTGCTTACGAAGCAACAGGGTCAGGTCTGGTCCTTCTCAAATCTGAATCCTAGGGTCCACATTAGTATTTGTCTTGGACCAATAGTTTCCTTTCCCCAAAGTACAGCATGACTGGAGAATGTGCTAGAAAAGCAGAGTCTGGGGCCCTAGCCCAGACCCACTGAATCAGAAACCCTGGGTCCTGGGCCCAGCAATCTTTGTTTTAACAAACCTTTCCAAGTGATTCTGATCCAGCTAAAAATTTGAGAACTACTAGATTGGAGGAGGCCGTATAACACTGGAGGAGACTTGCTTTGAATGAACTCCAGTGGTTTAATGTACATACTCCTAGGATTTGTCTGTCTAGTGGGTGGTTATTATTGGTCCCATGTGAGAAAAGAACTAAAATGCAGAGGGACAATAATGAACCAAAGTTTACCCATGACAGGAGAAGACTCAATTAGATTGTTCAGCATTCACTCAGCTTGAAAGAAGAGTACACGCTATCCCCTTAAAAAACCAACAACACCCTATTCAATGATTTTAATTATACAAGCAGTATATCCTTATCAAAAATTCCAACAATCCAACAACATGCAAAATTTTAAAATTAAAAGTACATTCACCTCATTCCCTCACTCCCAACTCATCAGCCACTCAATATTGAGAGCTTATGGGAAACACATGTTTCTCTGACATTCATTCCTATAATCCCTGCAGCCTTTCTCCCTTCCCTGTCTTCCTTCATCAATGCATCTGTTCTCTGTACATCCATCTACCCATCCCATCCATTCATCCATCTTTCAGGGCAAATAGTTGATCAGACTATAAATACTATTGGGCAACATTTTTTTTTTTTTTTTTTTAGCCAACCACTTTTTACTTCTCCTTCTAAAGAAGATACACATACAGATATACTGCACACCTTTAATTCCGTAATATGGATTACCTTCTATGACTGACGGAATCATTTCCATGGGGATGATTAAGTTTGTCACTTAATGCTACAGTGAATACCTTTGTAAACTCATCTTATAGATGTGTACTATTAATATTTCTGCAGGCTAGATTTCTAGAAGCCAAGTTTCTGGATCAAAGTTATGAATGTTTTAAATATAGTAACCATGACTAAATTGTTCTCCTTCTAAAAACAGATACCTGAGCATATGGATTTTCATTTACCATAACTAACAATTATAAGCCTTTTAATTTTGCCTGTCTTATGGTGAAAATGATATTCTCTTGGTTTTAGGAATGTAAATTCAGAGTGGGAACAGGTTATTAACCCAAAATAGATCTGATTCTATAAAAATTCCTTTTGGAACACAAGTGCTATGTCTGCACACTCCCTGTGAGTGTCCCAATGATGCGGACCCATCTCCTTCCCTCTGTGTCCTTGACCTCCTGCTCGTTCCCCTCTCTTTCTGTCCAGCTTCTCACTTATTCCAGCTTCTCAGTTCATGAAGGCAGGCATGTACATTTTTATCAGTAATACTTAAAAATCACTCCTCTCTCCTACTTTCTCATTGTGTAAACACACCATTTTTCTCACTTTCCTTATGTCATTTGAGTTAGGAGGGAAGATATAACTAGATTAAATCACACAAAGGCATGTTAACACCTGATATCCTGGCTTAACATGTCAATGTTCTTCAAGTAGTTCATGTAAAAAAAAGAAAAAAAAAGAAAAAGTTATTGTTGAAAGTATTATATGTCCCTTTCTCCCCTCTACTATTGACCTCTTCTAACAGTTCACTTTTTAAAAGAAATTCCAGGCTAAGCTAAAGGAATTAATATTTGAGAGTAGAATATCAGCTATGTTTACTCTCATCTGTGAAAGTATTTTTCTCCTTTTGCATACTGGCTTGCCCATAATGGAAGAGTTTATTTCACCCCCAAAAAGATAAAATGTGATAAATAACCTGCGAGTTGGCTACATATAGTACTATAAGCTTTTAAGATATTAGTGACTTCAGTTTTCAGTGTGTTTCAACTCAGGTGATAATCACGGGCCCACATTCACATATTTTCCCACTTATTCATTATCAGACTATTTCCTTATGATGTGAGATAATCACCCCAAAGGCAGTTTCTCACTGGACAACTTAAGAGATCCCGTGCAGCAGATGACTCAGATGTCTGGGTGATTTTGGAGTCTTTTAACAGGTTTCCAGAGGTATTTGCACTTAGTCTTCTAAAATGTTCTAGGGGTGTTTCCTTTTTCAAAAAACATCCCTATTCTCCACAGTGAGAATATTCTCCCACTCCCCCCCTAAACCAGCAACATTTTAGGATCCATTTCTCCTCTTTTTATACTAAAAAAATAAAAACTCTGGAAGTCCAAGACAAACAAGATGGTGAACACAAAATCTCTGGTGAACCGTACACTGAGTTTTTTCTTTTGTTGTTGTTTTATTAATATTTTTTAATTTATTTTAGAGAGGAAGGGAGAAGGAGAGAGAGATAGAAACATCAACAATGAGAGAGAATCATTGATCAGCTGCCTCCTGCATGCTCCTACTAGGGATTGAGCCTGCAACCCTGGGCATGTGCCCTTGAGCGGAATTGAACCTGGGAACATTCAGTCTGCAGGCCAACACTCTATTCACTGAGCCAAACCAGTTAGGATTCTTACACTGTATTTTTATTAGTATAATAGTACTCGGGTCTTATTGCCAGATTTCTGACCTGTAAACGCAATGGATGATAATTATTTACACCATCTGGTTTCTTAAGTAAGGGAAAAAAGGTTGGGCCATAGGTTGTTGTTTTTATTTTTATTTTTCTTAAATACATTTTATTGATTTTTTACAGAGAGGAAAGGAGAGGGATAGAGAGCTAGAAACATCGATGAGAGAGAAACATTGACCAACTGCCTCTTGCACACTCCCTACTGGGGATGTGCCCGCAACGAAGGTACATGCCCTTGACTGGAATGGAACCTGGGACCTTTCAGTCAACAGGCCTACACTGTATCCACTGAGCCAAACCGGTTTTGGCAGGTTGTTGTTTTTAATTGTGGATCTTTACTTTCCGTGCTATGATGCATGATAGCTCACATTCAGAGAGAATGTATTGTTGCTGTGTAAGATGCTCAGACCTTTCCATGGCATGGCCCCATTGAATCTCAGAGCTACCTCATGAAACAGGCTCTGGTAGCATCCTCATCCCATGAATGAGAAAGCCAAGCTCAGAGAACGTGGACACTTTGTCCAGAATTACATGGCCAGTGGGTAGCAGAGATAGGATTTATAATGTGTTATGTATGAACAAATCTATGAGGATCTTCTTTTTTTCCTTCTCCCCTTCTTTCCTCCCTCCAACATTCAGCGAGTCATTGAAAAGCGGTATATCCCCAGGCTCACACTCTTCATGTGTTTGTGAGGAATGATGTTTATAAATGATGGCCAGCAGGATGCTCTTACCTTGTGAGGAGATCATGGCCTCCTCAATAAAATCATCTCTCCATCTAAGCCACTTTTTAGCTGTTTGTCCTTGGGTGAACTAATTCACCTTAGACTTCCCCTCTGGAAAAAAAAAATGCGGATAAAAATAGTGCTTAATTTCATTAGGGTTTTGTGAAGATAAATGAGTTGATTCATGTAGGAACTTAGAATAATACCTGGCACAGAGCTAATTATTCAATACATTTTGGCTGAAACTATTGTTCTTCTGGATTCAAATGGATGAGGAGCTTTATAGCAACCTCGTGCCATATTCTCTTCCTTCCTGAAAGCCTCAGGTGAGTTATCTGTGATGCCATCCACCATAACAGCATTCCTGTGAATCTCAGTGAGGTGCTCACTGTCAGGAATGTGGTTGAGGAAGCTCTTTAGTGCATTGCATTGCTGACTTCCTGAGAATCCAGGAGAAATGGCTCTCAGCTCCGGGCCTCAGAAAGATGGCTCCCTCATGAGGACCTGTTTGCATCAGAACTTGGGGACACTTGGAAGCATGCAGAGCAGAGGCCAGCAAACGTCTCTGATGGAGGACCTGGCAATAAACATCTTTGGCTTTGCAGGCCATGGAGTCCCTGCTGCAGCTACTTGGCTCTGCCATTGAGGCGGCCATAGACAGTATGTAAACAGTTGGACGCGGTTGTGTCCCAATAAATCTTGACTTACAAAACCGGGCTTCAGGCCAACCCCTGATGTAGATGGTCATGGTTTTTTGTTTTGTTTTGTTTGTTTTGTACTTCTCCCTTTGATACAAACTACCAGAAAAGCTTAGAGTTCAATTTAAGTCATGTTCCTAGCAAGTTTGTGAGCACACAGTTGTATACTGCTACCATCCCTGCTTGCCTGTTTTCCTACATTTACCTCCCATTTGTCTTTGTCCCAGCTCCTTCTGTCTTCCTTTACTATTACATTTCTCCATAGGTTGCATGTGATTTTTCTTTTTTTAAAAGGATGGAAATGGGGGAGGAGCATCCTGGAAGATGTTAATGGGGAAGGAGGAGAGAAGAGAAAAAGAACCTAGGTAATATTTTCAACAGTAAAGATGAAACAAAATAAAGATGGATCTATCAGCAACTCTATCAAGTACATCTATGCAACTTAGAAACCAGGACTCTGGAAACCGCTCTGACTCAAAGTTCAACGGATGGGGTTAATGTAGAAGCAGGCTGTCACCCAGGGTGTGCTCCCCGCTGACCTGCAGGCTGCGTGCAGGCGTTCCGTTAGCTCCCTCTCTAACCGGAGAAGTCAAGAGAGAGGAGAGACGAGGACTTCTGGTAGCCACAGAGTTTCATTCCTTCCTCTCTCATTGTTGTAAGAATTGCTTTTAAATGAAAACAGCCTCTCTGGTTTGCAAGCCTGACTCTGGCAGGCAGACAAATGATTTTTTTTACAGTATCAGACACGCGGTTTCCTGTCTGTGTTTAACTTG